CCTCTCTACGACAGAAGTGGCGACGGCAGCCACGCAAGGACAGGCAAGATCCAGGAGCCTGAACTGCTGAGGCAGAGGCCGGGCTGGCACCCGGCAGGCGGGACCGCCCCTGTCTCCCTTCCTAGGACCTCAGGGCTCTGAGCTCTCTGTGTTGGGCTGCAGGCCTGCCCGGGCCACACGGCTGTGGCAACCCTCGGCCACCGACAGCAGGTGGAAAGCCAAGCGCCTGGTGGACGCTCCACAGTCCCTCTGTCCACGGGCATCTGGTCCTGCCCACTGGGGTCAACACCAGAAGTCAGGCGTGCAAGGTCTTCGATGTGGCATCCTGGCCTGTTCCAGTCCATGTGTTGACAAGGCTGTCCCCAGAGGGTTGGAGGTGACCAGGACAGGTGGGGCTGAGCTCGGCTCTGATAGTCCTGGCACGATGAGGTTCTCCCTCCTGCAGCCCCAGGCCAAGGAGAGGCCTCAGGGATTCAGCCGAGGTCCTGGTTCTAGCGTGGCGCTCTCCCACTGGCCTGATGTGGGCCTGGTCTTCACAATGATGGTGGCTGCTCGCCCAGTCGGTTGTGGCCCACGGGGCCAAGTGAGGAGTGCAGCGCACTCTGAAATGCTAAAGGGTGCCGGATGTCCCCACACCCCATAAGCACACGTAGGCTGTGGGCATGGCCTCCCCCTGCTGCAGGGCCTCTGTGCCTCTCCTGAACACCCAGGGACTGTGACCCGCGTGGCCCACAGGGTCTGGCCACACCCAGCCAGAGCTCATAGTTGAGTTCAATGACAAACCGTGGCCAGTTCCCTTGGCTGTGTGCTTGCACGTGGGAGAGTGTCCCCAAGGAAATCTCTAGGTGGGGAAGGGAGGAGGAGCCCAAGCACGCTGGCTTGCCTGGACCAAGGGTTCCTGGGATGCAAGGGTTTCATGGCCGCAACTGGGAAAGGCCCCAGCAAACCAGACTGAGGGACACGCCCAGAGGGGTGGCTCTTCTGGCCGCTCCTCTCCTCCGTAATGGGGGTCGCTTTGGTCCGCACGCGAGTGGCCGCCGTGGGCAGGGCCTGGCCTGCGGTGAGACCTACTGGCCTTTCGGCATCGGCTATGCCTGTGACCCAGAGCCTGGCTGGGGTCACGCTGCAGGTGCCCTCCTGTGGATGCCAGCCTCAGTTAAATACCACAGGAGACGGACCAGGAGGGCCAGCAGGGTGGGTCGGCGCGGCAGACGGCATGGCACACCATGGACACCTGAGACCCGCCATGCCCGAGTCCCTTTGCTCTTCTTTGTGGGGTACAGTGAGGGCTTGTCTGTGCTCGGCCTGGGTCCCTTCCAGGGCTGTGCTGGAGAGGTCAACTCGGAGGAAAAAGTGTGGTCCCCTCTGGTGGAAGACTGGGCTTGCCTGAAAGAGCGCCTCCCCCCAGTGCTCCCACTGTGATGCGGCCCAGTGGGCCTCCAGCCATGCCCCTGGGGTCTGCGGAGGGACAGGGGCCAGGTGGAGCGTGAGCGGCACTCCCCATGCCCTGAGTAACAGTGCCCTGGCCCCTCCAGCCCACACCGTGAGCCGGGGATAGGGTACTTGCTGGCTTGCATCTTGAAAACCTTAGTAAAATGAAAACCTTTCCAGAGAAATGCAACTTACCCAATCCACGGAAAAATGGAAACCCCAACTTTTCATACAATCATCCGAGAAACTGAACGCACGTTCAAGACCTGCCCACCGTGTGGCGTCTGGCGAGCTCTGTGAGCGGTCAGGCAGTAGCGGAGCTGTGCAATGCTCCCGGGGGGCAAGCGCGTGGTGAGCTGGCTGGCTTGAGCCCAGTCCTGAACCCAGCAAGGCGAGCCCTGGCCTCTCACTTAACGTTGCCCGAACTGCAGCAAATTAGCAGCAAACTGAAGCCGTCACTGCTGAGCCGGGTCTCCGTTAGGGAGACAGTGATACTTCGCACTGAGTTAAATTTGCCACGAAACACATTTAATCCAATTATCAGATTAACAGGCTAAAGGAGAAAGTCGTATCATCTTCGTAGAAGGCACGGATAAAATCGACTTCCACTTGCGATGGAAGCTCTGAGGGCTCCAGGAAGACAAGGGGACGGTCCTGGTCTGAGAAGGACACCTTCACGGCAGGTCAGGGCGGGCACAGCGCTCCCGGAGAAACGGGCATGTCCCTTGTGGGACTTGGTCCCTGACGCTATTTCTGTGACCGCGTCGGGAGGGCATCCGCCTTGGGTCCAGAAAGGAGGAGAGTAACCCCGTACCCGTGTGGTGGGGCCCGCGGACCTGGAGGCAGCAGTGCTGACCCCGTGAGAGCTGCTGGGTGTGAGAGCAAGGAGCGCAGGAGCCCCCACGATCTGCGTAGGAGTCAGGCAGAGCGTGACAGCAAGGACGGCACCACCGCACGGCGCGGGGACACCCAGGCCCTACGAACGACTCCCGCGGTGTGCTACTCCTGCAGGCGGCTCAGACCCGCGGAAGGCGTCGGGCGCCCTACCGAAGCAGGGGTGGCCTGTGTCCCCGGGTTGCAGCGGCAGGGCTGGGCTGCCCGCTGCCCTCATACGGCCCATGTGCTCGGAGAACCACGACGAAACCCCGACAGGTCATAACCTGATAAGCCAAATGCACAGTCGGACAGAGCAGGGTTGGCAGACACCCACCGTGGAAGGTGCGTCTGGCAGATGTCAGCACTCTCAGGAGGCCACGGTGCCCCCTCCAGTGCTGGCTGCGTGGGAGTCAGGCCAGCACTCTGCTGGCCGGGGCAGCTGGCATGGCTCTCCTCCTTACATGGAGCCGGTGTGACCAGCCGTGTATCAGACAAAGAAACCGCGTCGGAGACCTACGTGTGGCCGACAGACAAGCCATAGACCTGCTGGACGGCACAGGGGGCCGGGGGCCACATGGCCACCCAACTGGACCCACGTGGGGAAGGTCCGGGTGCACGTCCTGGGACCCCCTCGAGCGTGGCAGGCAGGCACACATGCTGAGTCTTGGGGTGCACGGGGCATGGACACCCTGCCGGGGTGCCTGTCTCTTTACCACTCTGTCTCTCATAGAAGGAACTTGGGGACTCTGTGGGACTCCTGGGTGGCACGAATCTGATCAGCCAGGCTAGGGACTTGAACCAGGTTGCCGTGTGGGGTCCTGCTTCTCGTGAGCGGTGCTTTACCACTGCACAGGGAGCAAAAGCCACCTGTGAAGAAGGCGCGGGGCCAGCCCGCAGTGCAGAGGGTGAGCCCAGTGAGGGGAGTTGATCCCACGGGGCCAGATAGGGGCCCCAGCCCCAGCTTGGGGGCTTCTGCGCTGGGCGCACGCCAGGACCCCGCGGGCTCTGCCGTGCACGCACGTGTGCCCTCCTGCACAGTGGGAGAGAACAGGGCACACGGCCTCTCCCGCAGCAAGACTGAAAGCTCTGTTCTCCCAAAGGCGCCACAAAGAGGCGACAAGAGCCTGGTATCAGCGCCGGCCTGGAGACCCGCGAGGGAGGGGAGAGAAGGGACCTCAGCAGGCAAGGGGGGACTCATGTGGCTGTTCCCCAGAAGCCGAGAGCCGGGGTGAGGGGCACATGCTTGCCCAGCACCGCCTCACTGACGAGGCCGAGCTGGCCATGTTGCTGGGGCTGGCACTGGAGCGCTGGCCTACCGGGGGCAGGCTCCTCCTGCAGCCCGCACCTCGCTCGCCCGGACCGCGAGCAGGGAGCATTCTCACCACGCCGGTTCCCAAGCACGGGGCTGAGAGCCAGAGACCAGGGGCAGCCTGTGCTGCACGCTGCCCGGCAGCCCTCCGTGTTGCCATCCTGCAGTTCCACATGTAGGTCTCTAGACACAACTTCTCTGCCTGGAACACGGTCAGTCATGCAGGCTCCATGTAAGGAGAGGAAAGCCACGCCAGCCCCCACAGCGAGCAGAGCGCCCATCCCTGCCGTATAGCGCTCGCCGTCTAGAGCCACAGTGCCGGCTGGTCAGGGCGGTTTCTGGACCGCCTCCCACTCATCTCATTTGGAAACTTCAAAACAGAACCTGAGGCCCAGCAGTCAGCTTCCAGCTATATGCAGGGGTCTTGGGAAAGTGCACAGAAATTGCATATTCTTTTATTCTTTTTTTGGAGAGGTTTTTTTTTTTTTTCTTTTTTCTTTTCTTATTGGGCGCGTGCACTCACCAGAAAGACAGAGAGAGACAGAGAGACAGAAAGCGAGAAATCACCCCCCAGGGGGGACAGCCACGCCGCAATCCCTTCTCCTCCATTCTCCTCTCAGGATCTTGGGCACGCATGCATACACGCCTGGTGTGAGTTTAAGCCACCGGGTCTGGGACTCGAACCGCGGTCAACTACATGGAAGTCCAGCAACATAGCCATTATGCTAACTGCTGGTCCCAGAAATTGCATATTCTAAAAAAACTATGCCTGAATTTCAAAAATTTTTGCACCAAAATAAACACAACTTGAACTCCATTCTCCACTTTCAGGGGTTGCTGACCATAGTGCCCATCAGGTGCATGGCTGCCTGCAGCAGGATTCCTTGTCCCTCATGGCTGCCCGGCAGGCCACCAGCACAGGCTTGCTCCACCTGGTCACGTGCCGGCAGACACAGGGCCCAGTCCGGCTGTGGAGACCCCGGGAGCACGGCCGTCTCTGAGACACTGACTTGGTGCCCTTGTATGTGGGGGCTTCGAGGAGCTGTGGGAGGCCCAGCCTCTGCCCTGTCAGTAATGCAGCCTGCCAGGCTGAAGCCACGTGGCCCTGTAGGCTCAGGTCCTGAGCTGGAGGGCTGGACAGAGAGGGTCCTGCTTCTCTCTCTGCCAGCTGTGCACACGCTCTATCTCTGGGCGCGAGATATTCGGATACCCACGTGGTTTTCTGTAACACATTTTCCACGAACTTTCTCAAGACCCTAGTAGGCAGCCCCAGAAGACAAGTCCTGTGTGATCTCTTGCACGCGACACTGAAGAAAGTGGAACCCGTGTCACAGGGTGTGTGTTCCTAAGACCATGGTGGGCGGCTCGAGTGTGCGCCTTTTACTGGTCAGTTACAGCTCAATACGCAAGGCACAGTCCAGTTAGGACAAGGGAAAGCTGAGGACAGCCCCAAATGGCTGCGGGTGTGACCAGCGAGCTACTGCCCCGAGGTGCCCACCACGCGGCCACCACAAACAGGCCCTGCAGAGTACAAGGTGGGCTGGGGGAATCCGAGACAAGGCAGCGTCAGGGATCGGGGCTGGAGGTGGGGCAACCCCACGGGGGCCTACTCTCCCCGTCTCACCGCCTGCGTGCGCCCCTTCCTGCGGCTCTCCGTCTGCACACATGTCCATTTCTGTGTATGCTCTGGAACAGAATTGGGTTGGAAGAGACAAGTGGAAACGCTGTCTCGGGATGGGAGAGTGGGAGGGCAGCAGGGGGCTGCAGAGGGTGGGACGAGGCCCCGCCTGGGCAGGAGCTGCAGTGGTGGACCACCTGAGGGTGGGGCCTTTCCCAATTCCCATGCCACACTCTTCTGGAGCTGGCCTGCTCCCCCGGGGCTCCCAGGGGTCAGTCCCCTGGTCTTCGCCCTGCCTCAGAAGGCGTGTGCAATCGCCAGGTGTGTGGTGTGTGGTGTGTGGAGAAGCCTCTGGCCAGCCCACCCTGGCCCAGCTCTCCCATGGGGGTGGGCCTGGAGCCCAGGAGTCCAGGAAAGGGTGCAGAATGAGCTGGCAGGCCTCGCGGGCAGGGCCTCCTGGGCTTCCTTTCTCCAGATAAGAACTTCCGAATGTCCAGTGTGGGGTGGGGTGTGCAAGGCTGGGCCAGAGGGCTGGGTGGGTGGTGGGTGCCAGGAGCCTCTGCTCAGCATGGGGGCTCCCTCTTCCTTCAGGGATGGGCAAATGCCACGTCCCTCAAACGTCCGTGTTAGTGTTTCCCACAGAGGCACGGTAAACATGCGATGCAGACACAGGACCAGGAGGAAGGGTAAGCCTGTCCCCTGCCAGCTGCCCTCGGACAGCTGGGGTGGAGGCTGAATCACGTGGGTTCAAACCTGCGCCCAACCTGCACCTGCGGCTGAGTGCCAGGGAGGGCCCCGCACCTCTGCTTCCTGGCTGTGAGGGCCTGAGCCAGCCTGGTAGGCCTCCTTAGCAACATGCGATGCAGACACAGGACCAGGAGGAAGGGTAAGCCTGTCCCCTGCCAGCTGCCCTCGGACAGCTGGGGTGGAGGCTGAATCACGTGGGTTCAAACCTGCGCCCAACCTGCACCTGCGGCTGAGTGCCAGGGAGGGCCCCGCACCTCTGCTTCCTGGCTGTGAGGGCCTGAGCCAGCCTGGTAGGCCTCCTTAGCCCCAGTGCCCCGCCTAGTGTTGCTGGGA